AAGCCAGGTATTAGCCAGGGGAGTAGTTGTTTTTTGATAGGCGTCAGTCCATTCAACCTACTGTGTAGGTATATTCAAGACTGGCTTGAAAGTTAAAAGTTCATTTCTTTAGATTTGTTTACTGCCACTCTTCAAGCATATCCCACTGATTAATAAGAAAGTTTTTCATTCTTATTCAGAGGAATCGGGCGAATTAAGGATATGCAGTTTGTTAGTAACTCATCCACTAGATGGAGTGACATTTTGTTTTTCGCTCCAACTTAGGAAAAGAAATGAAATACTTTGAAAGAATTCCGATTCTCAATTAGGGAATATCATTGACTTTAGGTTGATGATGGCCACTATCTTGCACTGATGAGTGGCTAATGAGCCCGAAACCGGCCTGCAAGTGTGCACGTTCCAAAATTGAAAATCGACTCTTCCAGTTGTATTGCCAATTGCATATGCAGGACATTTTCTATGAAGATTCCTGCACTGACGCCTGTCGGATATAATCCAACGCCCTTCGTGGTATCAGCCAGAGAAGTAGTTGTTGTCTGATAGGCGTCAGTCCATTCAATCTACTTTGTAGGTATTTTCGAGACTGGCTTGAACGTTTGAAGTTTATTTCTTCAGATGGTAAGAAATGTTTCGTGTGATGAATTATTGAGCCTTCGATACTACCGAAGCAACTATATGCAGCCCACTGTTATGGCCATGCTTTATTTCATAATTTCTGACAGAAAAGCTGACGAATGTCAAATATTTGTGTTTCTGAAAACTAGATGCTGGTTGGATGATTACATTTCAGTTTGAAAACTCACTCAAGTACAGCTTATCAACCGCATTGTACGTTGATTTATCAGACGATACATGTTCCCACTTTTCCCACTTCATTAATCAATAAAGTAGGTGTCAGTCAACCAAAAAATGGTATGGAATTTTCATATGAAGCAGTATTGAGTAAACAAGATATTTATATTAATAATTCATTCTGTACATTTCGTAACATAATTTGTGTGGCTCGACATTAACACTTACATACTTATTTGCAAGATTTATGTTTTTTTTATTCAGTATCATTAATCTGAAAGTTAATGTCGGTGAATACTCAGAATGGGATATGAAAGTAACGTGGTGAATTTTTCTATGAGTTACTGTGGAAGAATGAAAACTGGGGGGAAATTATTTCCTAATTCATTTTTGACCTCACACCAGCTACCTACCATCGCCATGAATTTTTGAAGTATCCTCACCAGAACTTATAACGTTTCGTTTGTTTGAAGGTGATTGACAATGTTTCATGATGAATTTCACTAGTTCGGACTTCCATTGTCTACTATATAAAATGATTTGAAATCCCTGAAACAACTAAAAAAGAGGAATTGAAAATGATTAGCTGAAAATAACAATTATATTAACCAAAATAAACCTGAAATGAAATAATAATGAAATAAAATACAAGTAAGAATAGATGGGATAAAATAAAAGATGGGATAAATAAAAATAAAGAAATGGAAACATAAAATAAAAATAAAAAGTGGAGAGATTCCAAGTCACGTTATTTCACGACGTTTCGATTGTTAGTATCTACATCACAATCGTGATGACTGTCACACCCGAAGACGATTGTAGATACTACCAATCGAAACGTCGTGAACTAACGTGACTTGGAATCTTTCCACTTTTTATTTTTATTTCCTGTTTTCATTTCTTTATTTTTATTTATCCCATCTTTTATTTTATCCTCTCTATTTTTACTTGTATTTTATTTCACTATCATTCCATTTCAGGTTTATTTTGGTTAATATGATTGTTATTTTCAGCTATTCATTTTCAAACCTCCTTTTTTAGTTGTTTCAGGGATTTCAAATCATTTTATATAGTAGACAATGGAAGTCCTAACTAGTGAAATTATAACGTTACTTTTCCCAATAATTGACAATAACTCATTATATGTTTATAACTAATCACATATGGTTGATTGTTGACCAGATAATATTAAATGATGAAAATCTGTTTGGCGAAGCCTAAAGCAACGCCAATGATAGGTTTTGATCCAATGAAGCTGCTTGCAGCACCCTCCTTCGCAAGAAAGTTAGCAGCCTCATTGCCTTCCAGGCCAGTATGGACAGGAATCCAGAACAGAGACAATCTGTTGAGTCTTCCTATCGAGGTGAGTCGTTTTTGGCAATTTGCTACCAATTTAGACGATGCTCAGTAGGAGCCAAGAGCTTTCAATGTCTCTTGACTGTCCGAGAATATCTTTTTTCTTGTGTATGAGGTTGGATCCTTCCACCTCCGTTGCAAATGGAATGACCTCACCATTGAGGGAAAGTTGCGTTAGATCATCAAATTTTCTCCTCCTGGTGAAGGTGAATATCACAGTTATACTGGGTTTGACAAACATCTGCTTTCTCAGCCACCATCTGTGAACAACGTCCATCGTGCTTTGGAGGATTTTACAAGCTATCCTTCTCGATGTGGACCTTGCCAAGATGACAAGGTCATCTGCATGAGCTTTCAGATCTACTTTTCTTCTATCGGAGGCATTAAGCAGACCACAGAAGCGACCACAGAAGAAGAGATAGTACCACACGTTGAGGGCTGGTGGCCTAGCTAAAGTCGTTCCCAATAAAATATTGACTGATGACACCACCAGCCCAAAATCCACACCAAACAATGACTTTTTTAGGATGGATTCATTGGATCCCTTGTGAATTGATATCGTCCCAAATTCGACAATTTTGTTTGTTTACGTACCTATTCATCGCTGAAGATGATTTTTTCATCAATAGCAGGACTAGTTGCCAACTGTTTAAGAGCCCATTAACAAGAACGACTTCTTTTAAGTGACGCAAAATCGACTACCTTGGATTTTCCTGCACACTCTCACAGACATCAGCGATATTTTTGTCGACGTACGGGTGTGGTCGATTGCTTGCTGAACCAGTGGACTCAAATTCATCCACCACATTGCAAATGATTCTCTTGATAGAATGATCATGACGACCAAGATTCCTTGGTCGCGCATTAATTTGTCCGAATATAACACCTCAAAGCTCGTTTTGTTGAACGCTATATTCGTCCATGATAATTTGTCAAACAGTCCGAATAAATAACAACTGATTTGACAGATGTAGCTTCAACAAGATGGCCGTCATCAATTGTTAATGTTCGGAAGTCCTTGTTTATAGGGAAACCGTTTCTAAAGAGTATCATAGAAATGAGCAAATGATCCAAAGCAGGAAAGAGACCCTACCAAGCGGTCGTATCATCTAGATCATTTATATTTTCTGAATACCTACATTTACAAAAGCATTGGAAGAAAGAATGGGTTTTCAAATCAAATGCTGTTTAAACTCCTTTAACATTTCACCAATCAACCAATCAGGATTTCGTACAGAACACAGCTGTACCACCGCTCTGTTGAAAATAACTGATGATATTTTTGAATCTGCTGACATTAGTAACACGACTGCTTTAATAATTATAGACTTCTCCAAGGCTCTTGATACCATTAGTTATTCAATTTCATCTGCTATTTTGAACTTCATCGGGTTCTCTGATTCTGCTGTAAATTCAATCAAAAGCTATTTTAAATATCGTTCACAGTTTGTGAAAACTCCGAAGGGAAAATCAAGCAGGGGATTTATTGAATTTGAAGTGCCTCAGGGATCTATATTTCGACCCTCATTATTTTGCGTATACACTTGTAATTCAGTTTCCGTGTGGAAACATTGTATTTGACATATGTATGCGGATGACACACAACTATACATATCATTTAACCCTAATGACGTTGCTACTGCTAATCGAAAATTGAATGAAGATCTAGCTCGTCTCATTTCAACATCTGAAGCTCATAACCTCAAAATCAATTCGAACAAAACTCAGTTTGAGCAGAGTCTAGATGATGATAGTACGACCATCTGTCGAAAGCGCTCGCATATAATTAAATAGAAGTTATAAAGCTTCAAATCATTTTTGTGGTATTGGTATGGTATGGTATCAGACAATATGACAGAATTTGAACTTGAAATGAACTTAAGGAAACCAAATGGTTAACTATGAAAAATAGACGTGTTTTACACTCGGCTACCCTCTCCATAAAATATTAATTAACAAATGTCCATCATATTTGTATAACATGACATTTCTTAGCGATGTACATACTTTAAATTTGAGGTTTAGAGGGTGACTTTTCCCTCCGCTCCATAGAACCTCTCTATATCGTCGATCCCTCACTTATAACATACATAGTTTGTATAATAATATTCCACAAAAATGTAAAGGTAGTAAAGTTTCCTTATTTAGGTGCTGTTACAGAAAATATTTCATCGCTGCTCAAGCAGAAAGTCATTGATTTCACACTTCTGGAAAATTTTAGTATGAACATTTAACATGTTTTCTCTTCCTCTTCCCTCTTTTCTTCCTCTTTTGTTTCTCTTCTTTGTTTTCGTTTTTTCTCTAGTTCAGTTTTCTTTTCACCAAGGCAAGAACTAAAAACAGTACCCTTCTGGTATATGTTATTTTTAGCCTCATTTATAGTTTTTTTATTAGTTTTATAGACTGAATAATTATTTTATTTATATGTAGAATGAATATTATATTTCAATATATATCACAAGGAATCAAATACCTCAGGGAATTTCAATTATGTTTGACACCTAATCAAATTGATTAGTTGAGTTTTATTCATGAGAATTGATTTAATTTAGTTTTTTGTTTCTCTGTCGCAACTGGTTTATGAAAATTACTTCCGACTAGAGGAAGGACAATCAAACAACACCGAGGACCTTCGTCTAGCACTCAACAATAAATCCTTTTCGCAAGGCCCACAATCATAGTTGGACAACTCTCAAAATTAAATGCATCCAATGAATAATTCAGGTAAAATGTGGACCTATTTTTAGGTTACATGAGATTTCAGGCATTCAAAAATGCAATATGTTGTGAATTAGAGTATGGTAAATTTAAATTTTTGAAGAACAATGATAATTACCAGGAAAACTGAAAACTTGAAATGATGAAGTCATTTTATTTCTAATACAACACAATAACAGAATAACACCTACTCAACACCTACCATGTAGATCGTCTATTTTGAATATTGTTAACAGGTTTTTATCGAATCCTCTTATATTCCTCATCATCATTATTCATTCAAGTTTTCGAAATACCGTTCATGACTTTCAGCAGTGTTCCATAAAATCCTTCTAGGTTTTTTCCTAGAAAAAATTCATTATGGGTATAGTCGAAGTAATGTATCGAAGTGGAAACTCCATTCCTCTTCATTTCATTATGCAAATTTTCGACATCCTGAAAAAAAAATTCATTAATGAAATTCGTGAATTCATTGGGGAAGAATTATGATCATTGATATTTTTCAAATTTTCCATTGAATAACTACTTGTTTTTGTAATATACTTGTATCCATTAACATTCGTAGGTTACTGGCTAGTATAATATTTTGAGTGGAGGCTAATATTTATACTATTACACATGAGGTGAAATTGGCCGATACTTCATGAAAATCCATAACTGATATATTCAAAAAACAATTTATTGAGGGATTTTCAATCAACAGTTTTACAAAAACGCAACATGCCAAATCAATTAGGCAAAAGAATAATGAAATGAATTTTACGAGAGCAGATGAATATCGAACGATTATTGCATTACACAAAAATGACTACGTAAGTAAAACCCTAGATTTCCTTAATCAAGGGAGCTACGAGATACTGAAGAATGACCTAAAACTATGTACCAGAAAAAGGTTAAAGAAACCCTTAGGACAGTATAATTGGTTGTGAATGGAAAGGATAAATGTAGAGCATTGCTCATGATTCCACAACCACCACAACTGTATTCTCTTATTAAATTATACGAAACCAATTTCCCGATTAGACCTTTGGTGTCGTTTGTAACGGCACCTACCGTAAAAATCTCACAAATCCTCATAGAATTGATTCAAACCTATATCAGTATTGAGCCAAGATTTGGTATAAATAATTCTCATCAATTAATAAAGAATATTAGAAACGTATTCCTTCCTGATAACGCAAAATTAATATCGTTTGATGTCCATTAGTTTCCAATATTTCGCCAATTGAAACCATTGGACTGGTTGAGCGTTTCTTAGACAAAAACCACGTGAATCCACTACTAAAACAATACATTTGTGATTCATTACTATTTGTCTATCTCAAAATTATTTCCATTTCGACGAAAAAATTATTCTTGCAGTGGAGGACTAATAATGGGAAACCCTTTGAGTCCTTTACTGGCTGATACTTTCATGGATAGCATAGAGTATGAAATCCATAATAATTAGGTAACAAACAGTTTCTTGCACTGGTATAGATACGTAGATACTATCTTTGTCTGTTTTACTGGTACAGATAGGCAATTAGGCAAGTTCGTTGGATATGCCAATTCCATCCACCTGTCAATAAAATTCACCAGTGAAAGTGCAGTGAATAATTCAAAAAATTACCTCGTCTCAACCATTACAGAAAATAGCAATAAACATGAATTTGCAATTTTTCACAAACCATCTTACACGGTCATTATCATACATAACTCCTCAACCCACCCTTACCAGCATAAAGTTGCTGCATTTAATAGTATGCTTCACAGACTATTGAATATTCCACTGTCTGAGAGTAATTTCCATCGCGGTTATCAACGGTTAAATAGTAGATATTATCGACTCCATTGTTCCCAAAAATCTACAAAAGTAAGCTATGGATCTGGTCTACCCAAATTCAAGATGCGATAACGTCAGTTATAGGAAATTGTCATATTTGGGTAAACCAACCAATAATATTGCCCGTTTTTTCAAGGAAGAATGCGTAAAGGTAGCTAACAGAACGAATATTAGCCTGAAAAAATTTATAAAAAAAAATAAAAACAAAACTTTGGTGTCGGATAGATCAGTATATAAGCTGACTTGTGGCTCTTGCCCAAAGCTGTATATAGGCCAAACAGGGAGAACGTTTTCTAAAGCATTAAAGAGCATAGAAGTAGTTTTGTAAATAAAAAGACCAATTCCACATTTGCAAACCACCTTTCAGCAGAAAGACATGAGTTTAATCATGAATACGACATATTACATTCAGAAGAGAAGGATTCAATATCTGCGTATGATAAATCATCGCAGAGCTCTTCCATCCAACCGTGTGAACAGAAAAAAAACAGTATGCTATCAAAAACAATGCAACAGTATATACAGCAAAATTGAAAAAATATATATATTTTTTTGATCTTGGAAAAAGGTTGATTGATTTCGACATATTTCAATTAGTTGGATTCATTTATTGAAAGAAGATATTTTTTTATCTTCCGTTTGAAGCTTCCTAATGGCACAGGTTTATATTCAATGGGTATCCGATTATATGAGTAGGCATTATAATATTTTTCACACAGAACAAAATCATCTACTCTTTCAAACTAATATATTCCCAGACACAAGTATCTCACCTTCCTGGTTCCCAAATAATCTTTGAGTCCAACGAAAAAATGGATGGGTAGGGACATTTTTCCACTTTCATAGAGTGGAGGTGAGGTTGAATTATATTTGAAGATATTCTCGCTCCCATAATCATACATTTGGATATTTCCGGAAACTATGCACTGCGCAAAATGGCTTAGCGTTTTCAGCGATACACCTCTTGGAAAATTATTGAAGAATGAGGGGTAAATATCCTAAAATATGGAAAAAAAATCACATACTGATATAGTGAATGAACTCGTAGAAGAACTACAATGAATATTTCATAAATGAAGATGTTCCCCCACTTAGTTAAGTCAGTTTGGTCATTATTAAGCCTTGGTCAAAGACGAAACGGACTGGTTTAAGTTTGACGATAGTCGTGTCAAAAAGCAAATGCGTCACTGGAATCAATGAAGTCGCCCGGGAACGACAATTACTTTTTATTGTTGTTTTTATGTTCATTGTTGTTTCAATAGATTTTCAAATTAAAAAAAAAATGAAGTAAATTTGTGATGCACTGTTTGGAACCGTTGATGTGGTAATGGATATTACTGGAGTTTTATTTCAACTCCAAACCGTTAATTCAACATTTCGACACGTTTTTTGATAACCAAATGATCATCTTTGGAAGAAAAATCAATCAGTTTAATCTTCCTCTTGAAGATGATCACTTGGTGATCGAAACATGTGTCGAGATGTTAAAATAACGGTTTGGTGTTGGAATTGAACTCGAGTAATATTAATTGAGGTTAAGTTAGGAATGGTGAATGAACAATTCAAATGATACAAAAAGAGTGTAGTCATTTTTTACCGAAATAAGGAAATCAAAAATTTGATTTCCTCATACAAAAATTTTGTGCCGAAACGTTATTAATTATTATGTCATGTATCAATGAAATGAAATAAATAAAACAAAAATCTGAAGATCATGACCAAAAAACTCGGAAAATAGCTTTAACACTGTATTGAATTGATTCGTTTCATTTTTTAAACATGATTTTGATCAACTTTGTGGCTTTTGAAGAATAATATTGGTAACCAATGTCGAAAAAATAAATCAAAAATACAATAATATGATCAACAGTTCAATGACAATGATCGATTTTATTGAAACATGAGTGGGAAAATAGGTTTTGGGGATATAACTAGGATATTACTATTTGAGGGTTCTAATTTCATTAGCTTCAATTACATCTGAATTATCACAGAGTCGTTTTTATTTGAAATTGTAACCAACTGAATGAAAAATCAGTTGAAATATGAATCTGCCTAAATTTAATTTAGTTAAATTAAATTGAAACTAATTGAATTATTCGATTAATTTCACTTCATTATGTTTTTTTTTCACTATTTCACATTTACTTTTGTCATATGATGTTGATTAGGTCCTAGTTTCAAGTTATGCTACTGTATGACTATGTATAAAAAAATAAAAATTCTTGATTGAGTGGTAGAATAGCGTAAGGTAAACTCCATCAAGAGAAAAATAAACACCATATATTATTATTAATATTATAATTTTTTTAACCGTAGTTTGCGCTGGTCGGGCCCTATCCCCCGAAACCCCGATACCTTCGGCAGGGTGCGCCAGCATTATCTATCAACGACCACATTCCACACCGTGGGGTTAGTGATCATTGGGTCCGAGAATCATGTGCAATGAGCAAGCGCAGTGAGCCAAGAATAACAGCCTTCTGCATCTGTCTGTCTGAAATTTCTGCCTTTGTACGGCAAGCCGGTATAATTTTAAGATTCGAGAGTAGGGAGGGCATCATTCCACCAAGAACTCCAATAATCAGAACAACTAACTTGACAGAGAGGTCTGTATAGTATTTTTTTTCATCGTAATGTGCGCTGGTCAGGCCCTATTCCCCAAAGCACTAATACATTCGGAAGGGAGCGTCAGCATTATCAACCAATGATCAGTCCCCATACTGTGGGGTAAGTGACCATTGGTTTCGAAATTTATGTGCCCAGAGCAACCGCAGTAAGCCAAGAATGACAGCCTTCTGCATCTGTCCGGCTAAGATTTCTGCCGTAATGCGGCAAGCCGGTATGGTTTTGAGATTCGATAGTAGAGAGGGCATCATTTCACCAAGGACTCCAATAATCAGAACAACCATCTTGACACAATGGTCTGTATATTTTATCCGATTTTCCTTCTCTTTTCTGACGATATTCTTCCCGCCAGGAGCTGAAAACTCCACGACAAATATCGTCATGCTCTGGTGGTCAAAAAGGACTCAATCAGGCTTATTAGGTTGTATGAGCCTGAGGGTGGGGAACGAATAGTTCCAATAAATTTGGCACGTTCCGTTTCCCACAATGGATTCAATATCCACCGGAGCGTAGGACAACACCGGTGTCTCATCAATACCGTAAGAGTGCCGTAGATGGTAATATAGCACTCCTAGGGCCGCGTTATATCGATGGATATAGGCCCAAACCGTATATGCTGGACATGCTGATAACCAGTCTATTAGGGTTTCGGGCGCCTCGCCCGAGGCGCTTTGATAAGCTAAGGTCTCCAATGTTATTGAAGAAGACAACATGCATTGGCTTATCCTTGTGTTTCCGCAGAAGTGGGATGATCTCTGCGGCTTTTATATGAGCTTTTTGCTGCACGGGTTCCAACTCGGTGACAGAGTTGTGGTCACCTCGTTCAGTGTCGAAAACTAAACCGTGTTCATCAGCTGCTCGGGCAGCTGCCCTGAAGAGAAATGCTGCAATTCCTGCTCTCTCATAGTCACGGACCATGCAGAGAAAGGGATCCGAAATGCTGACGACATTACAGGCCATATTCAGTACCATTCAGTCATGTATACACTCCAAACTCAAAAGTCCACGGCCTTCCTGTTGTTGGGGGAAGTACAACCGTGGAACGAACGATTTGGGATGCACACTCCTACAGAAAAGCATCATTTTTCGGGTCTTCACGTCGAGTAGATACAGTTCCTCCCGAGTCCACTTCAGTACTCCAAACGAGTAGAGTAATATTGGAACGGCAATCATATTTAATGCAGCAACTTTGTTCTTCTCCGACAGTCCCGATGACCAGATCTGTCGAAGTTTGTGCTGATACTTGCTGTGTACTTTCGATGATGTCATTAGAAATACATTTGACAAAAATACTCCGTATCATTTGCAATATTGTGAGCTATAATTTTTCTTCGAATATTGTAAAGTTAAACTGCCTGATCGTTATCATGAATGGAAGAATTCCGTCAGATCGATCTTGAATGATCACAATAATCTTTTTTGAACAAACATTCCCAGTGGATCAATGCCGAAATAATGTCACTCATACATCACAAAGAAAGACTCTGGAAAAGATAAAAAAGATCAAAAGCCACAGAAGATTACCAAGCTCATCGAAATTTCTCAAAACACTTGGTATCTACAATAAGATCTTCAAGTTCATACGATCTAACCTGAACACCAAAGTAAGCATTCCGCTCCGACGAAAACCTGACAGTTCCTTGTGTTCTACAGACATCGAATCAGCAGAGATTTTGGCCGATTCTTTAACAAGCTCCTTCACGGTCGAGCCTCGAGATGACCACTTACCAAAAATTATAGCAGAGCGACTACGTGATAATCTGACTAATGTGTCGTTTACTTCGGAAAAAATTGAAAATCATTTATTCAATATTAAATCGAATTCATCTCCTGGTTTGGATGGAATGAGCCCTTTTTTCTCAAAAAGTTTGCTGAAACTCTCTGCCCTCCGTTGTCAACAATTATGTCAATCTCTTTCGCAAAATCTCGCATCCCACGGGCTTGGAAGAAGGCATCTGTCACCGCTAGTTTCAAAAAGGCAATAAACTCAATCCAATTAACTACAGGTCTATCAGTCTTTTATCCGTACCTTCCAAAGTAATGGAATCTATCATCGTAGAAGCTATGTCATCATACCACTAGAACAACATGGTAGATCAACCAACAGCAATATACTACAATGCATGAACGATTGGACGACAGCTTACGATTGGAAAATACCGACAGATATTGTTTATCTTGACTTTGCCAAGGCTTTCGATACAGGGTCCCAGTGAGGAGGCTAATGCACAAACTCGACACACACGGTATTCGAGACCAACTAAACCTATGGATTGAAAATTACATGACAGATAGAACTTTCTCGGTCAAAGTGGGCCATTTTTTTTCTTCGCACAGATACGTCACAAGTGGAGTTCCCCAGGGATCTGTTCTTGACCCACTCCTCTTCGTTGTTTATGCAAGTGATCTTGCTCTTCACATAAAGTCCAGCAAGTCGTTCTATGCCGATGATACTGAACTGTATGGAAATGCCTTAGTGGAACATCATTCCCTTCAAGAAGACCTCAACTCCATTAGTCAGTGGTGCGTCTACCTCTTAACGTCGACAAATGCGTCGTACTTCACCAAGGACATAATAAGCGGTCAATCGTTACGTACAGTGTCCTCTCATGCAGACTTGGGAGTGACTATTAATACCGACTTAACTTGGTCCGAACATATAATATGCACATGCAAACGCGCAAACACACTGATTTACCTCACCCGCAAAACGTTCCTTCATCTATCATATTCAAGTTCCATAAAACTCTACAAAACCTAAGTTCGTCCAATCATGTAGTATGCAGGTCCAGTGTGGTGTCCTGTTCTGGTGCGCGATAGGGACTTGTTGGACAATGTACAGCGTCGAGCCACACCTATGACTTTTGGTGAAGTGCGTCCAACCTATCCCGAAAGACTGAGGAAGGCACAACTTCTAGCTTTTGACCAACGTCAACTCCGTGGGGACCTCATCATATCTTTCCGTATAGCCAAGTATAACTATGCTAATCAGAAAGAACTTTTTGTTTTCAACAATGATTCGCGGTTACGTGGTCACACACTCAAATTAAAAAAGGAAAAATTTGCAACGAGGCAGAGGCAATATTTTTCGGTGAATCGTATTTTAGAAAAATGAAATAACTTACTCAACGATGTTATGAACTACGACTCAGTGAACAGTTTCAAAAACAAAATAGACATTTGCTCATTTGCTTAATCGGCTCTATGCATGTATTATTTTTCTTTTCTTCTTGCATGCATTGTATTAACATGTTGATATCCTTCGTTTTCAGGCTTACACAGGACTTTGTCCTCAGCCTTTATTTATATGTAATAATAATAATATCCCCCGCTTCTCGTTTCCCACAACGGATTCAATATCTGCCGCTCCGGGGAATATTGAATCCGTTGTGGGAAACGAGAAGTGCCGAATTTATTGGAACTATTCGTTCCCCACCCTCAGGCTCATACAAGCTAATAAGCCTGATGTAGTCCTTCTCGATCACCAGAGCAACACGATATATGTCGTGGAGTTTTCAGCTCCTGGCGAAACGAATATCGTCAGAAAAGAGGAGGAAAAACGGATGAAATATCGAGATTTTCTCTTCGAACTCCGCAGACTCTATCCAGATCACTCTGTCAAGATGGTCGTTCTGATTATTGGAGTCCTTGGTGGAATGATGTCTTCTCTACTCTTAAATCTCAAAATAATACCGGCTTGCCGCACTAAGGCAGAAATCCTAGCCGCACAGATGCAGAAGGCTGTCATTCTTGGCTCACTGCGTTTGCTCAGGGCACATGATTCTCGGGCCCAATGATCACTTACCCCACGGTGTGGGGAGTGGTCATTGGTTGATTATGCTGGCGCGCCCTCCCGAATGTATCGGGGCTTTGGGGGATAGGGCCTGACCAGCGCACACTACGGTGAAAAAAAAAATGATAATAGTAATAATAATAATAATAATAATAATGTTGGATATTTTGAATGACTTAATGAATTCAAAGAGAAGTTATTACCGAAAGTAAGTCTTTTCGTGGAAATCCACAAGCCATTGATAACAACATTTCACAAAACATTATTCCTGGATATGTTCCACAGAAGGTACTGGAAATATTGTTGAAAGCTGCGTCATACCCTGTTTTGTGTATTCCGGCTTTATTCAGATATATCTGTAACGAATTACTGAGTTCATTTCAAAGAAAAAGTGTTATACGTTCTAGATGCAAACTGTGATATACAATGTAACACATAAAGTTTGCGACATAAGGAAGGGTTTTTTATTGATACATATGATGAAAATTTGACTTCGCAGTTATTTTGTGCTTGAAAAATGCTACTAGAGTAGCACATGACAGAAAGAAAGAGGATATTTTGAGAGGTTTGGAAATCTGTCAAATTTGAGATTTTTTCGAAAATATAAAAAAAATTTTTTTTTTAAATTTCGGAAAATGCCAAAAAAATTGCTCGGTTTCCAATTTCATACCCTTGCTAGAAATTTGTACTATCGTTGTAATCGAGTAAACGTATTTCTCTTCATTCTTATCACACTCTTGTTCCTTGTACATGCCTACTTTCAATTTTCTCCAAAGAAATATGATCCAATTATTTGGTTATGTAATAACACACACACCACACATTTATCTTGAATGAATATTGGTGACGGCATCCTATCACAAAATCTGGAGTATTGTTGGACCCACCAGCGACAATTTCGGAAGTAACTGTTCAACTTGAAATTTGCCTCGTCTGTCCACAAAATCCTGCGATATAATTTTCTTTCTCATCTTGAAACCAAAATGGAAATCCTACTCGAATATTGAAATCTCTTTCTTTATGAATGGCTTATGAGATGGAATTTATATTTGGTCAAAATTCTTCTCACAGTTTTTCTGCCAACCTATGTATCTTCACTAATACTCCAAATATTAGTTTTCCGTTTTCGACAACGCTCAAACAAACATTTAGTATGTTTGAAGGTAATTGACAATGTTTCATGATGAATTTCAATAGATCGGACTTCCATTGCCTAGTATATGAAATGATTTGAAATCCCTGAAACGACTAAAAAAGAAGAATTGAAAGTGGATAGCTGAAAATAACAATTGTATTAAGCAAAATTAACCAGAAATGAAATAATAGAGAAATAAAATACAAGTGAAAATAACACAAATCAACAAAAAATAAAAATAAAGAAATAAAAATGAAAATATAAATGAAAAGTTGAGATTCCAAGCGACGTTAGTTCACGACGTTTTGATTGTTAGTATCTACAATCGTCTTCTGGTGATGACTGGACTGATTCCTCCGAGAGATGACTATTTATGGGTCGTTCGAGTACTTTCACTCATCCCCGCTTTACATTTTTCACCTTCACTAGTTCAGTGGGAGATGACCGTTTGGCGGGAGTTGGCCATTTTTCGCTTGATGATTGGTTTCCATATGTTGCGGCTTCTTTAAATTTTCTCCTAAACCAATGTTCCTCTCTGTGTATGATCTCAGCTTGGGACCACTCGATTTTGTGTTGATGGGTCCAAACATGGTCTGCTAATCTTGATTTGCTGGTATCCCCTCGCTGTTTCTTGTGCTCGGAAATGCGAACATTCAATGGCCTCTTAGTTTAACCAACATAGGATTTTTCGCACTCACAGGATATCTGGTAAATGCAATTCTTGGAATTGCAGTCCGAGTTTGAAGGCTGCTACGGATAGTGTTACTGGATCTGAAGCAGGTTCTGATGTTGTACTTGGAACCAATTCTCCTTATCCTCTCCGATAATCCTCTGATGTAGGAAAGTGACGGCTTCTCTTCCTTGCGACGCTCCTGCTGTCTTTTAGCCAAAGTCTTTGGAGTAGCCATTCCGTTGAAGATCATTTTCGATGATGTCTAGTTCCTTCTTGAGACATTCCTTCGTATTACAGCACGGTCTGATGGAGTCTTGATGATTCCTCTTCTAGTCGATTGATGGTGGTTGGATTCGTGGTTCAGATACTGTCGAGTGTGAGTGGTTTCGGTATACATATGTTTCCCACTTAGTGTCGGTCCTCTTCACCAAAACGTCTAAAAATGGCAATTCGTTGTGGATTTCCTTCTCCATTGTGAAAGTGATGGGAAGTCTCACGCTGTTGATGTGTTTCAGGAAGGCGTCTAGTTCAGTATTCCCATGGTTCCATATCATGCAGGTGTCGTCAACATATCTCAACCAGATTCAAGGTTCATTGTGGGCTTTTTCAAATGGCCAGAGTTTCAAACCACTCCATACATATGTTGGCTATGACTGGTGAAAGTGGCGATCCCATTGTCAGTCCCTCATCTTGTTTTAAGAATTTGTCCATCAGATGGAAATAACAGTTTGGTATACAGCATCCTAGTAATTCCATAATTACTTCTATTCTCTCTTTCAGGTTCCCGTCTTCAAATAGCTTTCTCTGTATGATGTGCTTCTTCGACCGGAACGTTGGTGTAAAGGCTTTCCACGTCAAAACTGATTAGTTGATCTTCCTGTGTGACTTCAATTGACCCTAGTACTTCGACAAAATGCCTTGAATTCTTCACAAAAGACAATGTTTTTCCTTGTAATGGTTGTACCATGGGAAGTAAAAATCTAGACAAGTTTTGAGTAGCCGAATTTCTGGAGCTGATGATCGGTCTAAGTGGAACATGCTTCTTGTGGATTTTGGGTAGTCCATACAAGTGGAGGGGCTTACTGTGGTGCGGTGTTAGCGATGATCTGTCTTCGTCCGAAAAATAGACTTGATGCTTTTTCAAAATCTCAATTGATACATTAGGGTCTCGTACGATCTTGGTGTATCGTCCCTTCTGAAGAACCTCTTCGATCTTCTGTTCGTAGAGAACAGTATCCATCACCACAGTAGCGTTTCCTTTATCTGCAGGTAGGGTATTGATTGTGTTGCCTCTACGTAGGCCATTCAGAGCTCTACGTTCTTCATTGCTGATGTTAGGTGTTGGAACTGGTTCTCGATCCAGCTGTTCTCTGATTTTCCATCTGAATTCTTCTGTCTCGGTCTGATCAATAAGGGAACTGGTGGATTCCATTGCAGTAATTATGTGCAAAGATGTTGGCGCAATGGCGAAATTTAGGCCTTTCCTCAACAAGGATTCCTCTATTCCCGCGAGCGGGCGGGAACTGATGTTGATGACGTTGGCGGATCCATAGTGATCCTGTTTTCGGTCTGTATTTGGGCATTGTTTCCTCACTAACTTCCCCCACTTTCTGTTGTGTGTATTCTCCATGTCTTGTCGGATCTTCAAGCACGTGCTTTCAATCTTGGCAAAGATTTTTCCATGATCATCTTCCAATGTCTCTCTTCTCATTTCTTCAAATCGTTTCATGGCATCCTGCAACAAAGTTGACCTCTTCCAACGGTGATAATCGATTCGAGTGCTCGGCTAGCGCGCTCCAATATGCGTTTAGCTCTCTCTCCTGGGATTAGCGATTTCAGCAGAAAATCTTTGGGGATGATGTTGTCTCTTGCTCTGCACAAAAAACTGAGGTGAGTCAGGGATTCCAAATCATTTTATATATTAGACAATGGAAGTCCGAACTAGTGAAATTTAAACTTCATTGGATTATGTGGTTTCTTGAAACGATTGTCCACAGAGCCAGATCCTTTGAATGTTGAATATTCTTCTCACGTTACTGAAGTGAATATTTCTTCCTGGATGCCGGTGATTGAAAATACAAGTAACATTTCGATATGACATACATGAACGATTTCCACTAAACTTATTTGTGAATTATAGAATTATAAATGAACGAAAATCTGTATCTACACAAAACAATTCGATTCATTCGCAATTCAAACCCAAGGATTTGACATTAACCAAAACTAAAAATCTGTTGCAAAAGCCTACTAAGAGAAAATTCAATTTCGATTTGATCAGTATCTACTATTTTCTTCCCGATATGTTGCATTCGTCTTGTAATGTTCAAAATCACGAAATTTCATATTATGTTTAGTACAAATCGCTGGATCGAAAGTCTTTTTAATAGTTGTGGAACTGTAGGTCAAAGTTCACTTTACAGAACAATATGATATTTCGCGTTAGTTTGTAACTGAATTATTGGTCAGAAAAATAATCAAACTGGATAAAAATCGATCATATAATTTAAAAAAACTGAAAAACATGCTTTCAAAGAACATCGAACTAAAAAGTTGTTTCGTTCGTTATTGTTTTAATCTCATTTAAAAAAAATATTTTCAACTTTTCAGTTCGATGTTCTTCAAGAGCGTGTTTTTTTAGTTTTTTGAACTTTATTCATTCTTCAGTATCATATGCTATGAAAGCGTGTATTTTAGTCTTTTCAAACTATATTTATATTATCTAAGCTTTGGGATCAATCAGCCGTATATTGTTTAGGAAAATGACCATTGATATTTTCCGATTCCGGAGAGGGAGCCTGAAAATCAGCTACCAAGTCCAAGGTAGCAGGCGTTGAAAGGAGGGTTACAAATAAGGCAGCAGGCGGGCGTGTTATAATAAAAAAAAAACTTTTTTCAAATGAAGAAATACATGTAAAGTGAGTTCGAATTATATGAAGAAGGTTAAGTAAAGCGCCATCTGCCCGCAAATAGACCAAGCAATAATGTTGATATTTCACTAATACAGATCCCAAGCTTGAGAGTTACAAAAAAACACACATACATACATACAGTTGAAGCTAATATAAAGCGCGTAGTATTGAATTTCTTCTCCCAGTCAATGACGATATGCACGTACCTTTAAAATTCTACTGAATGGTGCCAGAAGCGGTGCTATACCTTCCATATTCTTCGTATATATTACCGGAGATAGCGCGATTATCTCTTCCAGATGTTGTGTAGCATGTTTCCTCAACAAATTCGAATAAACGAATGATATTGTTGCTCCCATAGAGTGACCTATATAGATAATTTTTTTTCTATGCCTTGTTATCTTTGATATGTACTCGATCACTGCTGGCATATCATATACTGCCATCTCATGAAAACTGAAATCATAAACGAGATAGTTTTCACTGAAAGCGATAGAATGAGCCAACTTGATAAAGCTGCTATTATAATTTCGCAAGCAATTATTTAGTTTTGACGTGGAAAGCTTTTACACCAACGTTTCTACCGAAGAAGCACTTCAAATCATACAAATGATGATACCCAAAGACGGGAACATGGAATATAGAACGAAGTTACCTTCATTAGTGGGGTGCTATGTGCGGTACTGCTTTTTTCAACCGAAGGACGAACTCTTTGAGTTCGCTAACATATATATGGAGTAGTTTGAAACTCTGGCCATTGAAAAGGTCACAAGAAGCCCTGGTTGGTTGAGAGTTGGTAGAGTGCCTACAGCATATGTGGCTTATGAGTAAAGTCGAAGGGCCGTGGGATGTACATGGGGTCTTTCATTCCCGTGTGATCACCTGGATCTTCACTGCAATAATAAGGCCTATGTTAACGTACGAAGCCATTGCGTGGGAACCAAAAGATCTACAAGCAACGGCCATCCAAAAATTATATCAAATAGAGCGAATGACTTGTTCAAACATCACAGGAGCCATGAGAACAACACCAACCGCGGAAATGAAATGCATTACAGGTCTGACCCCTCTGGACCTGTACGTTAAAGAGGTTGCGTTAATGGCCTAGGTACGATTGCGCACGGCTGGTGTAAACCTCGTGAAGTAGAAATGAGTCAATTGAGGCTGGGCTTACGGCGAGAAGAGCTTACTGCGCAACCTCTGCTGCAGGCAACCAGTGATGCAATTGAACCCAGGTTTGTGTTTAATAAACCCTACAAAATACAGATGAAACAGAACACCGAGTTGGATACTACAAATGCAATACGCATATAAACAGACGGCTCAAAAACCAAAGAAGGCTCATGATGTGGAGTGTACTCCAGATCACTAAGAGTCTAAGGATTAAGTGGGGAATGGGAAAAAGTAGCAGCGTGGTCCAAACAGATCTGGCTGGTATCTCAGTCGCCACAAAAGAAATAAGCAGGAAAGGAATTTCTGGTACAAGCATGACAATCTACACTGACAGCAGACAAGTTCTATTAGCCTTGAACAGACAAAGTGTAACCTCAGGGCTAGTACTAGTGTCCGACCAAGATTTAACCAAAGCCTTGGTAGATGATAACATTATCCTGAGGTGGGTTGAAGGGCACGACAGGAGTAAAGGTAATCGCATTTCCGACTTTTTAGCCAAGGAAGCGGCTGGACTGAGAATATTAGGAGTCAGTGACACCTACGGCCTGATGTTGCGTAACTATCTTAAAGTTCCGCAACTGTCGAAGTCAATCCCTAAAGAGATGGGATTGAATCAAAGGACAGGAGTACAACTCTTCGGGAGGATATACAATGGGTCACATGTGGCATAAGTGTTGTGGACTCACACTCACCCTCCCTGCTCTCCAGATACAGTAAGAAACGATGGGAACACACATCAACTGAAGCACATCAACTGTGTGAGACCTTCCATCACTTTCACAGTAGAGAAGGCAATCCACAACGAATTGCCAGTTTCAGACGTTTTGGTGAAGAGGACCAACACTGAGTGTTAGACATCTGCATAACGAAAACCCACTTACACGGGACAGTATCTGAAACACAAATCCAACCAATATCAATCTACCAAAACGAAAATCATTAAGACTCCAGCATATCGTGCTTTCAGGCCCTTTAATATAAAGGAAGGTCTCGAGAAGAAACTAGGAGTCATCAAAAAATATATTCAACGAAATGGTTACCTCAACGTGATGGTGGAAAAAATTGTGGCTAGAAGACAGCAAAAGCCTCACAAGAAAGAGAAGCCGTCACAACCAGTGCTTGCTCTTCGGTACATCTGAGGATTGTCGAGAAGGATTAAAAAATTGGGTACAAGTACAAAATCAAAACCTGCATCAGATCCGGAAACACTATTCGTAGCAGACTCCAAGAATTCCATTTTCCGAATACCTTGTGAGTGCGATGAAACTTAGAGACCATTGAAATTCCACAATTGTCAGCCCAAGAGAAACACACAGCGATGAGAAACCAGCAAATGAGAAATAGCAAAGCATGTTTGGACTCATCTATTCAACATCAAGCTGTCCTAAATTGAGACCATCCACAGGGAGCAACACTGGTTTAGGAGAAAGTTCAAAGAAGCTGCATATATGTTGTCCAACGACGCATTCGGCCAAGCTAGCGTAGAGATACGCAAAATATGAAAACCTTCGATCAAGCGGAGAAACAGTCAACCACCCCCAAACCGGAAAAGCGGAGGGAGGAAAGAGGGAATAGGTGAAAGCATTCGAATGACCTATGAATAGTCATCTCCTGGAGGAATAGTCCAGTCGTAACCCGAAGACGATTGTGGATACTAACAATCGAAACGTGAAGTGACTTGGTTTGAAGAACTTATTGAAGTTTCCAAATGTTCGTCTGTACTATGTGTAAATTATATCTGAACTTCTCGTCTACAAATAATGCTTCGATACCTACTCTAATTGTTTCACTTTTTTTCTTTATCAAAAAAAGGACATGAGCACACAAATATTGATCGAGCTGAGCAGAAGTAATGTGAAGTGAGTTTATTGACTACGTTACATACTCAAATATGTTTGTAGCTAGAGTCATTTACAATTAAATTGAGTCATGAATATTGGACAACACAGCACAAAAATATCTAAAATTATCTGCAGTCAGAAAAAATATCTACACAAACCTTGATTAACCTACAAATGAAAACAGAAGAAGAAATAACACATTAACTATTGTCATAATCAGGTTGTTGAAATATTCATTGACTGAGCCAAAAACAGTATCTCGGAGGATTGTTTTTCAGCGATACACATTAACTATTGTCATAATCAGGTTGTTGAAATATTCATTGACTGAGCCAAAAACAGTATCTCGGAGGATTGTTTTTCAGCGATTTTTCAAACTTTGATATACTGAGAACTTTGAACTCAAGAAAAATACGATTATATATGTGCATCAGACTGTCTGATCACGAAACTCGACTTCTTGTGAATTTCAACTGAAACTGCAAATAAGTATAATGTAGGTAATAGCATTATTTAAAATTTCATGAAAATGCCCTCTGTAATCAGAGTGAATGATGATTATTATAGCCTTTTTTCAAATCTTGATAATATTTGCAGCTCCCATAGAATTTTCCCATAGCTAATTGAAGAGTGAAAAAGAAATATGGACTAGTTACATTTCTACGTACTACGTACTTGTGAATTTATTCATGTCTTAAATTTCATTATCTAGTCGAAATTACCTGTAATCCCAGTAATTTGGATCGGAGGTAGAGAGAGTTGTATGTTGATCTGACTTGACTCCTCCTCTTATTGTGGGAAGCCATACATCGTATCCGTTTCTTGATAAAACGAACGCTAAAACAATTTGAAAATACAATCAAATTCCGGAAAGTTGGAAAGTTTTCTAACTCGGTTTCCTCTCATATTATTATAATTCATCCTTCGGAAACTTAGTGTTCAATGCTTGGAAAGTTGAAGAAACGCCCCTAAGGGGGGTTCGAAATAAAAGTCCATCACCCATGACTATCTGCAGTAATAACAAAAAATTTCATATCGAAAAATTGGAAAGTCGAAATAGTGATGTCGCGTTGGAGAAAATGAGGTCTTAGAGAAAAAATCCTATTCAACTACTCTCATTAGAGACTGATGGCCAAATTGAAAGAATGATCTGAGGTCACGCCGTTCATAGTCATCATTCTACTACACCAGTAAACAGTAACCAGATAACCACAAGGATCTGTGCTAGGTCCGATATCATTCCTTCTTTATATAAATGAAATCGATAGCTTCATCACAGATTCATTCATAATGATGATGACTCATCCTTGGTTTGATCATTTTCTGTTTGGGAAGTGTGAAAGTACTCTGAAGTCAGTTGTGAATTGGTGCGGAGACAATTCAATGTACCTCGATGCTGAAAAAACTCAATTGGTGAGATTCCACAATCGTCAAAGACAGTGCGAAACAGAACAAATTCAAATAAATGATCGTACATTCAACAATTCAGATTAAACAGTATTTCTGGGGATAACCATGAATACATGTCTGACTTGGAAACAACACTTCACCCTTGTGATGAACAAATTGAATTCATTGTGTTACCTTTTCAGAAACGTCAGAAGCATTTTGACAGAACAACAACTATTATTGTACAGTTTATTGTACAGAAAAAAATATTCGTATAGTAACAGGAGTTCCTAGTACATTTTTTTGTAGGGATATATTTCTAACATTTAGAATTTTAACCTTATTATGTACGTGGATATTACTAGAGTTTTTTTCCCTACACCAAATCGTTATTTTTAACACCTCGATACGTGTTTCGAACACCAAGTGATCATCTTCAAAGAGGAAGATTGAAACTAGAAACTAATGCTAGCTAACCCTATTTATGCTATATAGGTAACCCATACAGGTCACCATCCAGGCGTGCCAACTATACAGGTATAGCAACCTAAATTAATTTTATAATTTTGCCTTATCTATTATTTCACAATATATGTTTATATAAATTAATTTTCAGCTATATGAAAATTAATTTCACAATATCGCTATCCAAATTTAATTTTGCAATGTGTCCTTATGTAGTAATCAGTAAACCCAACAACATTATTTTATTTTATTTCAACAAGCTATATAGTATGCTCTTTGGTATAGGTCCGTCATCGTTATTCATAATATTATTGTGTTTACTTTTCTACATAGGCATCTAGTTGCCTGTTGTTGTTAACTTGTCTAACTAATCTTAATGAACTGAAGTCTATGGAATGGTTTTGTTGCAAAATATGATGGGCGACTGCTGATTTTTCAGGTCTTCCATATTTTAAGTGTGCTATGTGTTCCTTATATCTAACTTTGATAGATCTTTTCGTCTGTTCCTAATATTTGTATATATAGACTCCCGACTCTCCTGATGTCTTCACAAAATCCCCCTACTTGTATGTGCTCACAATTGAGCACATACTTAAAAATTGCATACAGTACAGCCCATCTCGCTGCAAACACAAACTCAGTGGAACTCTCAAAGACATTCTTGGCGTACGTAACCAGCTCAGTGTCGTGATACAGTTCCTCAAGGACTGTCGATTGTTTCATTTAATCTGATTTCTGTTTTGTTTTGTAACTATTGTATTGTAATTATTATGTAAATGTATCACAGATTTCGTGTCAGTGGCAATTAGATGCCGAGACACGTTAATATTAATAAAAATAAATATTGCGTGAAAAAATAGTACATGATTTTGACACTTTGCAAAAGTAGATCAACTTTTTCATTAACATATTTTCGATTAATGTTGAGCTTTTCCTGGTTTTAAGAAGAAAAAAGTTTTTTCAGTTGGAGTAAGTAATACAAGTGAGTCTACATCTTCACCAACAACAACAGTTGTATTTGGCAAATTGAATTGCTTCAATACTGTTTCAATTATCAATACATCAGCATCATTATTAGCTTGTTTTACCAATATATTTTCAGCAGTATATTGAAATGAACCGAGACTTGTGAGTATTTGTAAGAATATTTTGTTGACTGGTTGGTTCTGTGATATTTTCATGAAATATATTAACATATAGTAGAACTACAGAGATGTATATATGTGGCGTACTTATGCATATTATGACGATTACAACTTTTACAACTTTTTTAATCGTTATATTTAAAAAACGGTGGCTCGTAGGAAAGAAGTATCAATTTGAATATAATTTTATGATATACAATTTTTGTCTGAAGTATTTTTGAGATAAAACTCACCGTTTTGCTGAAAATCGCGAAAAACTCATTTTTTTGACCTTGAACAAAATTTTTTCTATACCTACAGGTGAAAGATGGGAAATTTTCAAATTTTATTTTCAATCATGTTTTGAACAATCTTACTGCTCTTCAGCTTGGTGGAAATCTAGGTGGCTTTACTCTTATTTTTTTGGTCTAATTTGACCGGATTATATTCTCTGAAGCTACGTGCTGAATTCGCATTCTTCAATTCCAGTGTCTCTAAGAATTTTTCACAATTGTCCTAATACTGAGAAATAAATATCGTTTCTGGAGCTAATTGACAACACACTTTTGGTTATCATGCACCATTTTGCAGTGCTATTGAAAATACAGCTATTCAGTGAAACGAGTTTTGGATTACAAAAGTATTGTGTATCTGCGCCTAAATCTTCAGACACCTGTCGAATATAATCCAAGGTCCTTCGTGGTATTAGCTAGGGAAGTAGTTATTTTCTGATGGGAGTCAGTCCATGAACCTACTGTGTAGGTGAGGAAAGACTGACCTGCATGAAATGTTTCTTTGAATATTTTTTTCAGAGTGTACCAGCTCATTTCATCAAGCTTCAGCAAACACAGCATCTGAATTCAGCAAACATTTATGTATTGAACTATACAATGACGAAATGTTTTCCTATTGTGAAGGGAACTGACTTCCTGGGTTTGTTTTTTTTCGAAAATGTGAGCTTTATTTTCTTGCTTTGAATTATAGATTAAGGTAAGTATATAGGCTGTTATTCAAAGCAATCTCATTCAAGATAGAAATCGTTTCACAATCATTAATCTGACAAGCTGATCTGGTAACTTCGTACCGTCTCAGGATTGAATAATATGTGAAAGTTCAATAACTAAAAATCAGCAGAGAACCAATAAAAACGGGTTGGACCATAGAATGTGAAAATTCTATGGTCCAACCCGTTTCAAAAGCTTTGGTTTTATTTCATGAGAGGCACCGAAACTTGGACATTTCATATGCACCTCTGCAGAATATGTTCATTATTTTGACTCCTTTCCCAGGGAATGTAATTGTGGAATTGCTTCCAGACTTTGTCTGCAGGTGGCGTATTGGTACATCCTACTGAATCAACTGCAGGCAGATCATGTGACTAGATATGACAAGTTGGAATATAAAGGAAGTTACTTGCGACGAATTTTCAAAATGGAAGTTGTTGAACAGGTGCCTGATGGTTGAACTTCAGCTTTCTGCGCGGCATTAGCTGAGAGCTCTTGTTTCTCCATCGGGCTACACGTACCTTCAAAATTGTAGGTCTAACATGAGAGGCAAAGAGATAATGAACCCCATATTGGCAATGTGAAATCTAATGGTGAGGTGATTACTTATAGCAGCCTTTGTATACAAAATTTTAGAAGGTTTTTTTTCTGATTGATTCGCCCGAAATTATGAAGACTTGCAAAATTGTTTCTTCAAAATGGTTATCCAAAACCTCTCATCTATGAATTACTCCCCAACAGATCCTCCATCATCCCTACTGCCAATTATACTAATGAAATAGTTAGCATAATAATAACAGTATCAATAATTTGAACAATAATAATAAAAGTAATCCTCTAATACCTCAACTTCGTTTTTATTTTCCATTACCTCAACAAGGCAGTCTTTCTCGGGAGCTCAAACATTTTTTAACCAATTTGAACATGTGAAATTAGCTGACGGGAATCAGAAGACTATCGTAAAACTTTTTTCTGAATTTAAAAGATGGAGAAGATGTTGGGAAGAGTGAAGTTATATTGAGTGAGAACAAAAATTATCAAAATTGCGTATTCAATGTTCAGAAAAATAAAACATAACTTCACTTTAGATGATATTTCTGTTGGGTGAAATGCTTTTCAGCGGATTTTTACAATTCATCTACTCATTCACCAAATCAACGTCTTTCTGAAGTTTGTATCATACCTAGAGAATCATGTCCCAACAACATCCATAATATAGCTGAACCACCTATTCCATGCTGAATCAAAACTGGAATTCCTTTGAGATGTTTGTTACCATCCCGCAGAGGGATTCTGTATAAAGTCAAGATATATCCATCCTTCGTCACCACTTTATGTTCCTCTATGAAAAACCCATGTCTCTCAGCGATTTGAACCTGAAAAACCATGTTTTTTCTGTAGTTAAACACTTTTTGGTTATATGATGGAATTTGCAGATACTTGATGAAAATCCATAACTAATATATTCAAAAAACACTTTATTGTGAGATTTTCACTGGACAGTTTGAGAAAAACGCAACACGTGTTTCGCCATGCAATGATTTTTTCGGGGGTGTTTTTACTAACTATATTTCACATATCCAATGCTCAATATACCTAATTTCACAATTTGAAGTACCAACATTTCAAGTTCGTACCTGAGTTTCACCTGAGTTTGTAATGAATTAAATTACCTGAGCCTTTGTCCCAGTTTTTACATTGGAAAAAATATTTAGTTAAAGGAATTTATTGAATTCTAGTTGATCATTCAGTAAATTACCCAAATTTTTGAATTTACTGATTTCTGAACATTCTAGAAGATTGAGTTTCAAACTCTTCTCTTCCAAATGTAACATGTCGTATTCATGATTGAACTCATGTCCTTCTGATAAAAAGTGGTTTGCAAATGTGGAATTGGTCTTTCTATTTACGAAACCAGTTCTATGCTCTTATTCTCTTCAATTCTTTGGGAAAGTGTTCTCCCGGTTTGGCCAATATATAGTTTTGGGTGAAAGCCAGAAGTCAGCTTCTACGAGCCTTTTATGTTTCGGGATTTGACAACCCTAGTGTTGCAATCTGGCAACTGACAGCTCTATCGTAAAGTTGTACATTTTTGAGCTTATACGTATTCAGAACGTTTTGACATACGCGCGCTGTTTGTGTTGTTAACAGTGTGTTGTAAATCGTGAACATGTTTGTGCGACTATTTTTTACAACTTTCGACGTGGATTAACTCAACAACAGTGCATGGATGAACTCAATTCAATTTATGGCGATGAAGCTCCATCAAGGGCCAATGTTTATCGATGGTATGGTGAAGTCGATCGTGGTCGTAGTTCAGTCCAAGATGAATTTCGTGACGGTTGTCCAAAATCATTGTTGTTCCGAAAACTATTGATGCTGTGCGCGAACTGATATTGCAAGATCGTCATGTGACCTATCATGAGATTGAGACAACCTTAGGCATTAGTGGGACCGGCATACATTCAATATTGGATAAACATTTGACTGCCAAAAAAATTTGTTTGCGTTGCTCAATCAGAGTGGCAAAAGTGCTTCGACAATTGGTTTAAACGCATGCGAAAATGTATAGATCTTCATGTGGAATATTTTGAACAATAATAAAGTGATTTTCGATGATTACTATTTGTTTTTGTTCTCTAATCCCGAAATATAAAAGGCAACCTATGGTATACTCCTGATCAATCCAACACCAAAGTGGTGTCTTTATTGTTTTCAATAAATTTTCTTAGACATCCACAGTGTGTCTCTCTTCTCATGGAAATACCCCCGTATCTTCCGTAATATTTGAGGTAGAACGATGAAACTCTCAGAACTGATGGGAATGCTCAAAATGCACCTACCACCTGAATGGGGTTGGCCAAAGTGATATACACTGTCCGCCACTCGCGATGGAACACCCCATTTTTACGGTAAAACATATTAGGGGGCAAAATAGGCTGAAAATTCCTTCAGATTCGTGATCAGAACTACCAACTCACTACGAATACACTTTTCTCCTGGAAAAATTTCAGTCCTGAAAAATCCGAATTTGTCTCACTTCCTATGGAAACACCCCCGTATCTTCCGTAATATTCGAGGTGGAACGATGAAACTCTCAGGACTGCTGGAAATGCTCAAAATGCACCTACCATCTGAATAAGGTTTGTCAAAGTGATATACACTGTCCGCCACTGACGATGGGACACCCCGTTTTTAGGTAAAACATATTACGGCGCAAAATAGTTCGCTTCCAATACCTGAACCCCTTCATTCCATCTGAAGAGTACTCTCAGGTATGAAAGATACAGATGCTGTGAGATGCTATCATCCATTTTGAGCCTATCTGAGGAAAATTTCATAGCATCACATTCTCAGATTATCAAGATAGTGTGAAGCAGTGTATGAAGAATTATCGATGACGGCATCTATAATAACTGAAGAAGATTATTCGTAAAACTAATTCTGGTTGCTGAATAATCCAAATTCTATCCCAACCAGAAGTGGGGGGGCTCATCGATTGATGAGCAAAAACTGCAAAAAATGGAAAAAATCTATATTCAAAGGTTCACATCTCGAAAACTGTACAATTCTGAGCTTAGGCTGTGGACACTTTCAATCAGCACATCAGGAACTACAACATATCAAAATTTCGGGAGAATTCAAAGCAAGCCATTTCTTATGAGAAATGTGCGGGGTCCTTTATCAAACAATTGAGGAAACATTTTACCATCCGAAACAAAATTAATTTTCATACTCATTGCAACACCGAAACAACTGTTGATTTTCAAAGAGGTGAACAGGTAGAATTCAGATTATTTTACCTACTTGCTGAATTGTTGTCTGAAATCATTTGAAGGGATTGAATTACATCAGTTTCATTGAATCATGCGGTGCCCTGAAATCACCATGGAAAACAGTTGCTCATTGATATTCACTGTCAACCTGACAATATTGTTGAAAGATCTTGTTGTATTAACCCCCAGATCAGTTTTCATTGCATTTGTTGTTTCTAGTATTGTTGTTCTTTGAGTCACCGTTGCTCCTGTTGTTTCTGCCGTGTTTTTGTTCCCATTGTGTTTATTGTTCCTGTATTTGTGTTGGATATTGTTCCTGTGTTCCAGTTGTTTTCTGTTCGTGAGTTCCTGTTCATATTTTAATATTTCTGAAGTTCCCATTTCAACTGATATCAGCTCATTTTGAATGACAAAGTTCAACATGGCACGTCTGTCACTTCAAGCAAAAATTGAAATTGTTTTCATTGTTGGTGAAGGGGTGAGGTCTTATCGTGAAGCGGCCGCTGAATTTAATAGAAGACACCCGCTAGAGGTAGCTGTACACCCTGGAACTGTACATAAAATATATAATCTATTCGTGAGCACCGGCCAAGTAACAAAGGACAGAAAAATTGTAAAACATCATATTGATGATGATACGATATTGGCAGCTCATCAAACTGATCCTAGAATTAGTTTGAGAAACTTATCGCTTCAACTCAATATGAGCCGCAGTAAAATATGGAGGTGTTTAAAGAGGCATAAAATGCATGCGTTCAAACCCAAATTTTTACATACTTTGCACGAAGGAGATGCAATCCGCCGTATGAAGTATTGTTTATGGATGCAGGGAAATTATCTCGATGACAGGAATTTTTTAAAGTTTATCTTATGCAGTGATGAGGCTACCTTCACCACGAATGTTGTTGTATCTTCCCAGATTCTGAGCTTTTGTGCTGAACAAAATCCAAATTGGATGGTGAATTGTAGAGACCAAATATCTCAGAAAATAAATGTGTGGTGTGGTATCCTGAACGAAAATGTTATCGGGCAACTTTTTTTTTTCGATCAAAATTTAAACGGACGACTGTTCGTTGATTTTTTCGAAAATGCATTTTCCGATGTGTATGAAGTACTAGCTTTGGATGTGAGACACAGCATGATTTTTCAGTTAGATGGTTCACTAGTTCACAATAGTGGCATAACCAGGGTTTGGTTGAATAGGAATCTACCTATGAAATGGATAGGACCCAATAGCCCTCTCGTAGTATGGCCACCACGATCTCCAGATTCAACTCCAATGGATTTTTATTTATTGGAGAAACTTGAAAAATTAGGTTTATAAGGATAGGCCAACAAATAAGGAAGATCTCCGTGCAAGAATTATACAAGCGTGTAGAGAAATCACATCTGTAGAAATGAGAAGAGTTGAAGGAAATAATAGAAGGCGCATAGAAAAATGTGTTTGATTGGAGAAAAATTTCATAGAAGGCACGAAAATATAAAATTGTCAACAGTTAAATCATTTGAAATTGATTGTTTTGTTTTTTAATTGAAAATGTGATTCTGAAAGTAGTAGGTACTTCGAAAGAATTTTGAACTACATAACATGTTTCGCCACAAAATATCCTTGTTTTTTTTTAAATAATGGGAAAATGAGAGTATGAATAACAATAACCATCCTGTAACCTCACTGATTACATGTTTCCGTTCCTCTTACAAAATTACTATTTTCTCTCTTATTGATAAGGAATAACTTTCCTGACAACAAAATAAAAAATAAATTATTTTTGTGAAAACAAAAGTTGAGTTTCTCTTGAACAATTTCGTTCATGTTTTGATGTCAAAACCAAAAAAAAAAAATCTACTTCAATTATTACGGAAGATACGGAGGTGTTTCAATGAGAAGTGAGACAAATTCGGATTTTTCAGGACTGAAATTTTTTCAGGAAAAAAGTGTATTCGTATTAAGTTAGTAGTCCTGATCACGAATCTGACGGAATTTTCAGCCTATTTTGTCCCCTAATATGTTTTACCGTAAAATTGGGGTGTTCCATCGCGAGTGGCGGACAGTGTATATCACTTTGGCCAACCCCATTCAGGTGGTAGGTGCATTTTGAACATTTCCATCAGTACTGAGAGTTTCATCGTTCTACCTCGAATGTTACGGAAAATACGGGGGTATTTTCATGAAAAGAGAGACACATTGTATACGTTCTGCAAGCTACGTTTACGGATTCTTTCTTCAATAGTCTTTCTTCATCACAACTACACCTACCAGGCTCACAATTGAATATTCCTATTTTTACATTTCAGGAACATGATAAACCGCACATTTGACTCGCGAGAAAATTAAATTACTTTTCACTAATCCATTTCAATGCGCAACAAATTAATCCATTTCGAATTTTATATTAAAAAAAAAGAGAAAAATAACACTTACCGGCGATGAATGAACATCGGGATTATACCAGCAATTCTTATTGGTGTTAATCGAACTGTAGTCTTGTAAAGTTTTGCATACATTATTTTTATGGGTTGCAGAACATGAGCATTTTGTTGTGATGAACAATATAACAATAATCAAGCACAACATCGTGTGACCACTCAATAAAAACAACGAAACCAAATGTGGAATATTGGCAAATGTTGACCACTTGCACTCCAGGGTCATCCAGGTAACTTATGTCGAATTACAGTTTTCATCAGTGTGTGAGATATTTCAGTTTTCATACAGGGTGATAAACACTATTTGTTAACTGAGAAGGATATTTACTAGTTTGACAATCCCCTGGAAAAGTTCCAGTGCCGGACTAAGAATGAATACTTTGTTTGTCTTCAAAGAGCCGAAAAAACCATGCGGTATCATTCTTGTTTATAAGCTGTTGAGCTAAAACAATTTTTGGGATCAAGATATCGCTCATTTATATATTTTCCCCACTTGATTCTGATAACTAAGTGTACATCTTGTCAAATCTAGGAAGCGACTTCAAAGTCTCGGCTTAGGACCTTCCTTGAGATGCACTTGGTAGAAAACCTTCAAAGACGATCGGTCTTGTAGTGTCCACGTCGGAGAAGTATAGTACGCGACAAAAGTCTGTGCTCTGAGAAAATGGTATTCAAATTGAAATGAAAAGTTTTGTGTGGTCAAGCGGGATGAGTGTTTGCTAATGTACTTTTTTTCATGCAACGAGAAGCTGATAATGACATAAGCATGGACCTGAAAAAATTTCTAGAGCATTGTGTAATATATTGGTTTGTTCACTAACCTTCGCATATAAAAAAACAGTTTCCTTTTCTACTTTAAGACCGGAATTTTGCAAAATTCTTAATACAGATGGTAAACGCTCTAAATGCTCTTGGTCATTTTTGCCAGTATTTAAACTGTCATCAAGAAAGCATACTATTCCAGGCTTATTAAAAATCTATTCCATTGTATTTTGGAAGATAACAGGAGCACATGTAAATCCATATGGTGAGCGAGTATAAGAAAATAAACCTTTACGAGTTGTAATGGTGACTAACTTTTGTGATTCAGGCGTTAACACAATCTGTTTGCCCACCCTGTATTTGGCTTGAAATATATTCAATTCTAGGTAGAGAAATATGTTGACTTTCGAGTTATGGGTTAAGGGTGACCTTAAAATCGCCACGTAGTCTAATGCCTCAATTTCGCTTCAATATTGGAACAAGTGTTGCCCATTTCGAAAACTCCACCGGAATCAAAACTCCATTTTGTACCAACCTATTTAATTCCGCTTCAATTTTTGGTTCAATTGCGAAAGAGGTCGGTCTCTATTTCAAAGATACTTTAAATTTATTGAAAGTTCCCAATTTTTCCCAAATTTCTTTATAAGAGTTTAACAAAAAACGTATTTTGTCAGAAAAACTTTTTTGGACTAAAGCTACCTGATCGTTATTAATTTTACATATTCCTATATTGAACATTTTCATTTCGTTCCTGCCCCCATTTCGAATGACGTACAGTTTAATATGAAATTTACTATTTCATCAGTTCAGACTTCCATTGTCTAATATAATATAAATTGATTTGAAATCCCTGAAAAAAATTAAAGATTAACTGAAATTAACAATTTTATTAAAACAAAAAATTGAAAATACAAGGAAATAACATACAAGCTACAACCAGAACATAAAAAATTGAAATAATAATAAAAGCTGAAAATTAAACAATATTATTAGCAAAAATGAAAAATAAAAATAAAAATAAAATTATTTCAAATCAAGTTACGTCACGACGTTTCGATTGTTAGTATCCACAATCGTCTTCGGGTGATAACTGGACTTATTCCTCAGAAATCTAACTATTTATAGGTCATTCCCCCCATGCCCCCTCCCGGGTTGAGAGCCCTGAAGTAGAAGCTTCCCCCCCAGCTATTTAGCGAGGAGAACCTACTACCCCACCCCATCCACCGCCGCTCTCCGAGCGGTCCTCAACTTACTGATGGGCACTTCAGCAAGATTGACATCTGACCTCTTTTGGTCGAAAGTCAGCCTTTAGGTGCTATTCTTTCGCGATCGGTGAAAAATGTTTTGTCTGACTATTCCTAACTGAATTTTCGCATAGGGGCCCCCAAAAACTAACCGGCGGCTATTGTTATTAACGTCGGGCGTTCCTCAGTGAATCTAAGGATAATTGGATCGCGGTCGAGTTGTTCTGCGGTGAACTTGCTGAAAGAGAATCTGATTAGTATGCTTATCGAAGTCGCCTGACGGCGACTCGTGGGGGCGGTCGTTGATTCTGCTTGGTCGGTTTTGGATGTTTGTCGCTTTCTCGGAACCTGGGGTCATCCATGTTGAACGCATCGTGTAGATCGCGTAGCGCTGGGTTGTTGTGCGATCTGATTCTATCGAACACGCTTTCTGCGTCCACATATTGCGTGTCCAGGTCTAAGTCTCTGTATATTTATCTATTTGGGATATAGTACGGCGAGTTTACGGCGGCGGCGTTCATAAACGACTGTATCTGCTTCCTGTATGTCTGTGCGCACTGGCCCCTGGCAGTGGAGGCATACAGTATCATGGGCATGAGGACGGTTTTGATCATTAGCAACTTCACTTTTTCCCCATATTGCTTCTGCGTCCTATGATAGGTGCCAGTCGTTGTCTGGCGTGCCTAGTCATTCCAATCCTCTGCCGTACATGAGACTGAAATGTTAATCTCCTGTCTAAGATGACCCCCAAGTATGTCGCTTTGCTGGTCCACGGAATCTCTTGTCCGTTGAAGGTGACGTTGCCTACCGGTTGTACAAACCTGCGGGTGAACAGTATCGCCTGACTCTTGTCAGGGTTTATACTGATCTTCCACAGGTTGGCCCACTCCTCTAATATGTCTGCCTGCTGCTGCAAGTATCTTGTAACATGCACTTGGCTCGTGGATCTCGCCAGCAGGGCCGTGTCGTCTGCGTAGAGCGCCAACTTGTTAAAGTTGTTCTCCGGCTTGGGCACGTCCGCTGTGTATACGGAGAAGAGGTGCGGCGAAAGGACTGCTTCTTGCGGGACCCCTGCTTCCAGCAGTCGAATTGTTGATAGTTCGTCTCCTACTCTGCATCGGCATCGCCTGTCAGCTAGAAAATACTGAATTGATCTTACCATTGGTTTTGAGTATCCGAAATCGCTCATTTTGGCCAGTAGTCCTTGATGTCAAACTCTGTCGAACGACTTGGAGACGTCTAGGAAGATTGCACCGGTGTTGTGTCCTTTGCCGAGGTTGATGCCTTCGGTCGCAAAGTTTATAGGTCATTCGGGTGCTTTCACCTTTCATTTATTCCCTCTTTTCTCTTTTCGCTTTATTGGTTTTAGCGGGAGATGACCGTTTGGCGTGAGTTGGTCGTTTTTTGCTTGATGAGAGGTTTCCATATGTTACGTATATCTACGCTAGCTTGACTTGAATTTTCTCCTAAACCAGTGTTACTCTTTGTGGATGATTTCAGCTTGAGCCCATTTAATATTATGTTGATGAGTACAAACATGCTCTGCCATTCCGGATTCGATGGTTTCTACTCTCTGTGTGTGATTCTTGTGCTCAGCAATGCGAACTCTCAATGGCCTCTTAGTTTCACCGATGTATGATTCTCCGCACTCGCAGGGTATCCGGTAAATGCAATTCTTGGAATTGCAGTCCGCGTTTGGTGGCCTGGCTACGGATTATGTTCCCAGCTCTGAAGCTGGTCCTGATGTTATATTTGGACCCAATCCTTCATATCCTTTCCGATAATCCTCTGATGTAGAGGAGTACAAGTACTGGAATTTTCAACAAATCGCTGCCACGTCGCCGCTACGTTGTGCAAGCCAAAGGGCATGCGCACAAAACGGTATAAACCTTTTCCCGGAACAGTGAAAGCTGTTTTGTCTTTACTGCTTTTCTCTAATTCGATTTGCCAATATGCCGACTTAATATCGATGGATGACAAAAATCGTGCTCCTCGTAACCTATCGAGAATTGAATTAACGTGGCGGCTTCTCTTCCTTGTGGAGCTCTTGATGTTTTCTAGCTAAAGCCTGTTCTACCATCACTCTGGAGTAACCATTCCGTTGAAGGTCATTTTTGATGATGCCTATTTCTTTTTCGAGACCTTCCTTTGCCGTCGATGAATATCTCTCGAATACTTTCACTATCAACGTTGGTCTTCTCCAGGGATCCATATTGTCTCCAATCTTCTTTTTATTGCATATCAACGACTCAGTGGGAAAAAACAAGAAATCAATATATTGCTTTGCTGATGACAGCACATTTATCTCTTTATCACGTTTGGATTATAGGACATCGTCTACGGAGGCACATCTTCACCTGCAGCAGGAGATTGCATATCCTAATGAGGATCTAGAAGTGATTTCGAATTGGGGTGACAGCAACCAGGTTGAATTCAATACCACAAAAACTCAGGCACTGGTTTTCTCCAAGAAGATAAATGTCTTCGAACCGGATAAAATAATTCAGGTCAAACAATTCCGCTTTCCGCTTTGATGAGTTTGTTGGGGGTTGAAATGGACATCAATATGTCTTGGCCCAATTATGTCACTGAAATTGCAGAGTCTGCTTCTGAAAAGCTTGAAAGCTTTTCCGAACTAGAAAACTATACACACCTCAACAACTTTTGATGCTTTATGAAGTTCAGATCAGACCTTCTTTGGAGTATTGTTCTCATGCATGGAGCTCCACCCCTAAGCATACCCTGAAACTGCTAGATTCCATTCAGAAAAGAGCCTACCGCCCGATTGGAGACGCGAACATCACGGGCAACCTTGGTAGTAAGGTTGGAGATGTGTCTCCCTTCATTCACGGGAGGTGTTGAAGAGACTTGGCACATTTGATTCCACTAAGAGCGGTGCATACCAGAAATACGCGACGTACTGCAACTGCTCATCGGTTTGAGGTTCAACTCAGTTCACCTCGAACATCACCTTTTAAGAACTATTTCGTCTGGAGAACTGCGTTCATGTGGAATCAACTTCCTGAGAACGTTTTCCCAAGTGGATGTAATCTCCAGCGATTCAAATCTGATGTGAATCGCTACTTTCGCACAGGATGAGAGCGCCTCAAGAATTTCGGTGTAGTGCTTGTGTTTCGTCCTAAAACACAACACACACAAGTGTGTTATACCCTAGGAAACAAAATGAAAGTTGATG